GATAGATAGATAGATAGATAGATAGATAGATAGATAGATAGATAGATAGATAGATAGATAGATAGATACAGATAGATCACTACATTTTATTTCACCATGTGACAATTTATACTAGTTGTTATTGTTCACACTTGCACTCTGCTTGGTGTTCTTCTCCCTGTGATTTCAGTTATTTGTACAACAGAAACAAACATTAATAATGTTGATGGTCATTCATCTAATCCAGTTTAGACAATTTCCATTGTCTAATCCAGATTCTTTCATGTGTATGTCTCTGTCTCTAGGTTCTTCCTGTTTCTCTTTGTAATGGCAACTGTTCTCCTGGGTACTGGAAAAAAGGGGCTGAAGACAGACCATTCTGCTGCTATGACTGTATTCCATGCCCAGATGGGAAGATTTCCAATCAAATTAGTAGGTTATCAGTTTCTCCATTTTTTTCATTTCACCATTAACCTTTCCCTATAAGGCTTCAAAGAAATGTAATATCCTGAACATGTCTATCTGTAGTTACTACTTTTATCAATTCTTAATGGGGAATATTTACACTTGATTCCCAAATCTGTGAATGGGAATCCTACAATTACAGTTCGCCTGTGCAGGTTGGATAGATAAAGACAGACAGACAGACGGACAGATCTAAACCTCTTACATTTTATTTCACCACAGAATCATAATTTAAAGTAGTAGTGGTAGTAATACTAGTAATAGTAGTGGAAGTTGCTGATCTTCACACTCGCAATCTCTTTTGCATTACTGTTCTTATCATTGTGATTTTCGATGTTCATGCAACAATAACAATCATCGAGAAAGCAAAAGGTCATCCGTTGTTTTAATAAACTTTGCATGCTAGGTGGATCTAGGAATGTTCATGTACTATGATTAAGATCAAGAACTGTGTTAGTGATTCCTGGATTATGTGCCGGGCCTCATCATTTGTGATGACAACATACTCAGTGTAAGTCCAGCTAAGCAATGTCTGACATAATCAATGCTTGAAAGGGAGATTACAAGACAATCACAATTTGTAGAGTAGTCTGGGGATTAAATAAAAAGGGGCTGGAAAAATACAAGATCAAACTATTTTCTTCTAACCCCCCCCCCCCCCAAAAAAACTACATG